TGACAAATGTCATTCTGTAACATTTAGATTTTAGCCAGATCACTGCAGGGATAACGGATAATAATTACCTTTTTAACAACATATAGTACAGTATACATTATGTGCATTGTCTTTGTTAGGTTCAGGTTTGGTTCTTTTACTTGAAAAATAAAAAAAAAACTGTTTTGCTGTATAACCATTTGATCAATGTTGTGTTCATTTCATTAATCAAAGTCTTAATTTTCTTATTTCAAATCAGAATAAAATTATCTAAGGGTTCATCTATCCAAAGTCAGAAAAGTATTTAGTATTGCAACACCATGAACTTGGAGCCACGTGTGCCCACTGCTGAGTTTTTGCAGCTATCTTATCAGACTGTACGCGACTCGTTTCCTCTAGCTGTAACGGGTGAACCCATCGCTGAAGAAGTTGCCAGTCTGAGAGCAAGGATGCCCATGGCAAGCAGAAATATTGTCTGATTGAAACAAAACAAAACGTATCTTTATATTTACCACTTTTTGTCTCTGACACATATGAAAATCTGTCCAATCTGTTTTAGTTTTATGATTTGGTAATACATTATTTGATTAATTTATTGATTTAATTTTCTTTGCACTCTCCTTCAGCTTCAAAGTTGTGAAAATAATTTCACTATATAATAACGCACAAGTTCAGTAGTTTTGCACCAGATCAACATTTTTCTATAAAGTTTTAATGTAAAGTACTACTCAGAAAGCAGCCAAACTTTCAATGCAGTTTATTTCTATAGCGCCAAGTCACAATAAAAGTCGTCTCAGTGCACTGAGCAGAAACATTCACACACATTATAAAAAACGATTAGTAAAAGTTATTTATCTAAGGAAGCAGCAGATTGTGTTGAATCTTCACTTCGTCACAGTCCTTAAGCAAACACAAAGGAGACAGTGGAAAGGAAAAACTCCCTTTTAACAGGAAGAAACCTCCAGCAGGCTCAGGGCGAGCGGCCATCTGCTTCGACCTGCTGACTTTTAGAGATGACAGGAAGGAGAGCCAAACACAGAAGGACAGGTCCAGGTGTAGTTTCTATAGAAAGAACAACAAAAAAACATGTTAAGATAGAGATAATTACAAATAAAGACAAGTAGATTAGAGCAAGTAAAGACAGCAGCAGAGAGAGAAAATGTGGTCATTTTCTCCTCCAGGAGCCTAAGCCTATAGCAGCATAACTAAAGGATAACTCAGGAAGCCCAAGTCTACTATAGGATTTATCAAAAAGGAAAGACTTAAAACTGGACAATGTGTCAGCCTCACAGACAGAAACTGGAATTGGTTCCACAAGAGAGGAGCCTGATAACTGAAAGATCTTCCCCCCGTTCTGCTTTTGCAAACTCTATGAACCACAAGTAAACCTGCAGTCTGAGAGCCAAGTTCACTGTTAGGAAAATATGGAACAATAAGATCTGTAATAAAAGATGGAGCTAGGTTGTTGAGAGCTTTGTAGGTTAGAAGTAAGATTTTGAATTAAATTCTGAATTTGCCTGGAAACCAATGGAGAGGAGCTAAAACTGGAGAGAGATGTTTTCTCCTAACTGTCTTTAAAACTCTGCAGCAACGTTTTGGATCAACTGAAGAGTTTTTAAAGAAGAACGTGGACACCCAGATAATGAACCATTGCAATAGTCCAGTGTAGACGTGATAAATGCAGGGACCAGGTGATGGAAGGGAATCTTCTCATTTACGCTCACATGTTGCACTGACCAACTGAAGGGCGATGCAACTCTCAGGTCATGTGTCAAGTTTTGTTCTTTTTCCTTATCTTTCAATTGCATGGCTTACAGTTCTGCTCATTTGTCACAGATAGATTTTTAGATCTGATACCGAGTTGTTTGTCCTTTACTTTTTCACTTTCCTCATTGTTTTGCACACACGTCTAAAAATGCTGTCATGGTCAGGTCACAAGGTCACAGATCACATGGTACCAAGAAAAATGTTTAAAGTTTTTTTTTTTTAAGTAAAGAGCCTTTCATGCAAAATATGGAGAAAAAAAAGGTTGTTTTAATACTTTTGTGCAGTACTCTGTCTCTAAAAAATAACTGTACACATACATTATACTGTGTTTTAAAAAAACATGACCATGTATGAAGAAATATTCTATATTACACATACACACACTAGCATGCTACCAATTCATGTTCAACAGAGAACCCATGATGCCTGTCTGATTGTGACATGGTTGGTAATGCTGTGTTTTTTTATCTGAGACTGAAATTTTGGCAGTTTTGACTTCCCCGTCTGATGGAAACCGCTTTGCTTCTGCAAACTAAAGACGCTTCCTCTGAACCTTTTAAGTGATATTCCTCTGAAGCTCTGCAGAATTTTAATTTATAAGATCACCTTTGATTTAAAATATTGTACTATTTGCTGAGAAATTTATTTTTTTTACTGTTTAGGTCCTTATTTAAAAGTTACAATGTTTGGAAATGTAAATTAAGAGACTGGATTGTGATATTCTGTGGCAAAGCTTTAACAATATTGTGAGCTGCTCTGTTTAATGGGGACTCCTGAGTTTATATGACTCAAATAAAAAAAAACTAATCCCAGAAATGACATTTGTATTTTTTATAATGCGACGTTGACTCAGCTGACAGACTGTGAGCAACGCCGTGCTTTTGTGATTTAACAGCTGGTTTGGTAACATTAAAAGTTATGTTTTGGGACACAAGTATTCAGATTTGTTGTGAGATTTAGAGGTTCTGAATAATATCAAAGGAATTAGTTAAATGTGTGAGGATGTGAAGCTTTAAGCTAAGGGTTATTTGTGTTTTTTGTCTCATAGCTTTTGGCCAGAACATTTTGAATTCACACCACAGCTCTGTATTTCTACCTGTCTTCTGATTTCAGTTGTGACTCGTTCCAAACTGGATGATTGACAATTTATTAATCAAACCAGAACAGTCAATGAGATCAATTTAAATCAATCCCAATCCCAAATACATATTGGAACACACATATATATCAATATCTCAGAATGCAATGACTTGTAAATCTTGTAAACCAAAGGGAACATAGTAAACATCTCAGATGTTTAATTTCTCATTTTGAGAGGAAAGGCAGTTATTTTGAAATCTATGGCAGTCACACATTTAAAAAAAGTTGGGACAAGGCCATGTTTCCCTCTGTAAAGCACCCCCCACCTCTTTTAATAACAGTCTGTAAATATCTAGGGTCTGAAGAGACCAGGTATTGGAGTTTGTGGAGTTGAACGATGTCTTGTTGTCAGATGTAGGGTTCCAGCTGTGCAACAGTTTTGGGTCTTCGCTTGATTTCTTTTTTTTTTTACTGAATGGGAGTATATGTTGTTTTAAAACCTGTATATGCTTCTCTGCATTGATGGTGCATTTCCAGATGTGTAAGCTGCCAATGTCATTCACTAATGCACACCTATACCATCAGAGAAGCAGGCTTTTGAACTGTGTGCTGATATCTGGCCTGATGGGCCCTCACCTCTTTGATACAAAGGACTGTCTGTTAATTTTGATGTTGAAAGTCTGATGACTGATGTTTTGAACCACTTTGGCCATGGCTGCCTCAGAGGAGTCGACGGGGGAGAGGGCAGACTCCAGAAACCATCTTATCACCATCAAACTGGTTGGCCCACTATGTGAGTGTGCTATGGACTGAGTTTGTTGTGGCTCCTCGGACTGATGAAGTCCTTTGGATGAAAGACGAAGCGTTTCAACATAAACTGTCCAGAGGACCTGATTTAACTTTGTTGGATTTTTTTACCTGGATTATTAAGCATGAACTTTGATGACTGTTAAGTTTTTCCATTTGACCTCAGTTCACTAGAAACCGCAAATACAGAAAAAACTGTTTTGAAAAGATAGTGTTTCCATGTGGACAGAGCCTTAAAATGATTTATTCTTCTCTACAGAATAAATACAGCTTGGGGACAACCAATTATAAATTAAAGTCTTATCTTTTTCAGAAAGAAGATAAGACAGATGTTGTTCTGAGATTAATTATATACTGCTTAAAAACATTTAATTACTGTTTCCTTATGAATCTCTAAGATTAAAGAAAAAAAATTGATGATAAATGTTTAGGGCAATATCTGTCTGTATCTATATATGTATCTATATATGTATCACTCTATATATATGTGTGTGTGTATATACTGTATATATAGTTTTGATGGGCAGGAATATTCTTGTCTGAACACTCACATGTAAACAAAAGCCCGTCTCCTGTGAGTTATCTCTTCAAGGTAATCTGCACTTGTCACCAGATGTTCTTATCTTTATTTACTTATTTTTGCCGTCTCGTTTTTCGGTCATGCGATGTCGAGTCGGAACACGTGGTGTCTGCTGGAAAACGGCACTGTGGACAGACTTGTTTCTCTATTTCTTATCTGAGCTTAAAGGAAGCTGTAAAATGACTGCAGTTTCATTACCTTAAAAGATAAGCTTCCTGTTCAGATTGACAAAATGGTTTCCTGTACGTTTTTACTTCAATATGATGAAGTAGTTTATGTTATAAATAAACTAAAATGTAATCATGCAGTACATTAGTCATGATGAAAAAAAACTCCAGATATTTATGGCTTTTTGGCCACACTGAGATGAAGCTGATAATTTAAATTTAATCACAAGATAGCAGGGTTATTGATTCCTCTGAGCATATTCTTAGACACCTGGCAACATATGACTTAAAGTTTACTTAGAACTTTCTGTTCTATCAAGTTTCTTTTCTAATTTAATCATGTGAATATAGCTTGAAACAGATAAACAGCTTTAATAAACACATACAGTCGTTCCCCTTGGTTTAGTTAAAGTTCTCTCATTTATTTTCCACTGTAAAGAAAATAAAGGAGAGCTTGAAATGCTTAGAAAAATGTTAAAACTCTTCGACCTCACTCATTTCTTGTGGACTTGTGCGCAAGAGCAAGTCAAAGCAACCAGCCACTTCCTGTAAGCTTCTTTTAAACGCAAATGATCTAAATTTTAAGAAAAAAAACTCTCTCTTTTGTTTCCAGCTGCACAATGTTTCCAAATTCTTCTGTTCCTTCGAAAGAAACCGAGTATTTAAAGGATGACTCAACAAAAGTGGACATTGAAGCAATCATGGACAACATCAGCATCGTCCTCTACACACTGACTGTCGTGCTTGGCATCACAGGAAACTCTATGGTGATCTGGGTGGCTGGATTCAAGCTCAAGGTGAATACACAGTGATGAGTATAATAAATATTCACAGTTCTGTGCTCCAGAAAAGAAAGTCAAATACACACCAATAAGTATTTGGTCCATCTTAACCATCAGAGTGAGTTGGTGCTGGTTTTACATCTATGGCAGTTTCATTTTGATGAACGCTGCTTTCTGCAAGATTTCAGTGTTGCTGAAGAAATTTTGTTTTGGAGGCAAACTTGTGAGATCAGTCACTGACGATGGACAAGAAAATCTGGTTTGAAATTTTTCATCCAGTACTCGATGAGGTTGAGGTCAGTCCTCCATACAGGCCGGTCAACTCCTCCAGCCTTGTCTTTATAGTCCTCGCTTTGTGCACGGAGGCACAGTGGAGTTGGGAAGGGACACAAAGATGATAACATTTAATAACATTAACGTTTAGTAACATTAACATTAATAACTTTAACATTAATAACATTAACATTAATGTTTAGTAACATTAACATTAATAACTTTAACATTAACGTTTAGTAACATTAACATTAATACCATTGGTTGGTTCTCTAACTATCTTTCAGACCGGAGGCAATGTGTTCAACATAATGGTACTTCCTCCAGTTATTTAACAGTCAACAATGGTGTACCACAAGGCTCAGTCTTAGGACCCACCCTCTTTACAATCTACATACATAATGTAGGTAAAAACATCCCTAATGCATCCATACATTTCTATGCTGATGACACAGTTGTTTATTGTCGAGCTAAAACAGTTGCTAAGGCTTTCCAGCTTCTGAAATCTGCATTTAACATCATCCAGACTGATTTGTTTCACCTCAAACTTGTCCTAAATGCCGAAAAAACCAAAGGGATGCTTTTTTCAAATAGGAAGTTGGTCCCAGCAGTTCTTCCTCCGATTTTATCCTCAAATGGTGTCCCCATTGAGTTTGTTGATTCCTATAAATATTTGGGTATCTTGGTCGACTCACATCTTTCTTTTAAGCTCCATGTGGAAAACTTGGTAAAGAAACTGAAAGTTAAACTGGGTTTCTTTTTCAGAAACAGATCCTGTCTAACCCTGAATGCTAGAAAACGCCTTGTATCTGTGACTTTCCTTCCCTCAATTGATTTTGGTGATATTATTTACATGAACGCTCCTACAAGAACCCTGCAGATGTTGGATGCTGTCTATCATGGTGCACTAAGATTCATAACTGGCTGTGATTATCGTACCCACCACTGCACCCTGTATTCACTGGTTAACTGGACATCATTAACTTCACGCAGACTCTCTCACTGGTACATTTTCATCTTTAAATCACTTCTTGGTCTGCTGCCTTCATACATCTCCTCCTACATGTCTCTGCGTGAGTGCAGCTACGGAGTGCGCTCTCAGGACATTATTACCTGCAGTGTTCCCTCAGTGAGGACTGAACTAGGCAAAAGGGCCTTCTCCTACTCCGCTCCTGTTTCCTGGAATATCTTACAAAAAGATTTGAAGCTCTCGACCTTGACCTCTCTAAGTGGCTTTAAGAATCTGTTGGACTCCTGGCAGGGACCAATGCAGACATGTTCCTGTTTTTAGTTTTATACATTTGTCTCGGAATCTAGCAGTTTTTTTTTTTTTGGTTTTGTTACCTTTTTCCTTTTAGCCATCCTATTTGTTAAAAAAAAACAAAAAAAAAACTGTAGTATGAGTTTTTATAACTGCTTATTGTTGTTGCTGTTGTCCATTGTTGTCATCTTTCTTTGTTGAAATCAGGTCTCTCTTGTAAATGAGTCCTCGAGGCTCAATGGGATTTACCTGTATAAATAAAGGTTGATTGATAATACCATTAACATTTAATAATATGAACATTAATAACTTTAACATT